ATTAACGCCAAGAACTTCATCCTTTATCCTTTTAATGATATGATAATGGTGATTAATGATGATGAGTTCATTTTTGCTGCGAACTAGCCTATTGACTCTTGAAGACGTCGCTATCGTCTTTGTCCATAAAGTGAAGATAAAATCTGATTATAAACAATGGTAGATGGTGACGATAATAGTATTAGATGTTAACTTCATTATATCTCAATTATACCTTTGATTAATGGTTCCACTGCACTTGAACCTGCCACTTCTTCATTAATATTTCATCGGGAGCTGTCCTCATTTTGGACTTTGAACCATGTTCTCAGTTACAATCAGTACTTGACGTCCGTCGGTCTCTTAAAAACCTCCCTGCTGCGAAACGTTCCAGTATGCTGACGTTTCGCTTCAAACTCTCGACTTCATCGGATTGTTTTTTCGTCTTTTCTTTTATGTTCCACTGCATCGCTGTGAAAAGTGCTTTTTGTTCCTTTTTCTTCGAATTTGAGACTTGCAACGTGTTTTTCTTTCTTTCTGATGAATAATTTATGATTCCTACTTCACCCTTCGTAACTTCAAACTCAACTCCTTCTCGATAGTTAATCAATTCGGTGACGGTGCTAGACGATCGCTTGGAGGTTCCACTCCCATGTCTTTGAGGTCGAGTCCATTCTTGGTTGCTCACCCCATCTCTGCGTAGGTGGCCGTTTGTTCGACCCATGCCCATTTTAGAAGACCTATGGGATTGGTGTGGGGCACCTATGGGATTGGTGTAGCCTACGAAGTTTTTTACTCCCCTGCAGAAAGCACTCTGAAGCCTTTACGATCATTAGGTAGGTAGGTATGGTGGTATGGTAAATAGCGGACCCCAAAGAGCCGTATCATTGCCATTTCGATGAACTTTTCAGGTCCCAAGTTTTTGATGGAGTATGCCCTACCCTTCGTGTGCCCGAAGCTGGTTACCATTTGCTTCTTCACTTGAAAAATCCTCCCCGAAACCCAACTGAAACGCCTCTCTAAATTCTCGTTCAGTTTGTTTTCCAGTGAGTCATTGAAAGAAACATCTGCGTTGCAGCGAAATGGGATTAGGAGCAGGAATGGTTCAATTGCAGCTGTCCTTTTCGTTTTCCCCATGGATTCTGGGTTTATTTACATCTTTGGTTTCTTCCCAGTACTATAATGTGATGAGGGATGTCACCCTGTTGTTTTGCTTTGGCGGTCACGATGTTTCCTGGTTCAGTGCCTGACACGATATCACCATCGCAAAACATCCCAACAACCCAGCTTTCATGTCCCATTTGCCTCTAAAAGAAATGCAGGTCACGATGTTTCCTGGTTCAGTGCCTGACACGATATCACCATCGCAAAACATCCCAACAACCCAGCTTTCATGTCCCATTTGCCTCTAAAAGAAATGCATTTAAATTTAGTTTAACGTGAAATGGAACTTGCTGCTGCTATAGTTGAACTTCTCACGTGCTCTTCTACGTTTAAATAAGTTGAACGTCATGTGAATTGGCCTTTGAGGTGGTTTACGATTCCTTATGTTTAACTGATTAAATGATTAGTTTGTTAGGCTATGTGGAAATGACGCTAAGACGTTGTGAGCCCATATTTGAGTTAGGGTTACCGCCTGACTCCATTTAATTTCAATTTGACGGTTTTTAATCTCTCTAGGGAAAATTTTGAAGAAGCATCAGAGTTCTACCGTATTTTGAACCCATTGTGCATGTCACCTCCTTTGTTCGTACATAAATCGTCTCTAAAAACTTAGAAGATCCCACTATGGCCCATCCTACTTCCACAGATTGGGATTCGCATATTCCTGTAGGGCTTTTGGCTCCTTTGCAGTTGATTTGAAGTCATTCGTATGAATACCTTGATGGGTAGACATGACTTTGTAAGGTTGTTTCAATTACGACTAGATACCCAATTTTTTGGGCATTGCACCGAAACGAAGGCTCCTTCCTTCAAAAGGAAGTAAGGTTTCAACTACTACTTACTAATAGACAACCGATAACAAAACTCTCTCTGTAGTACTTACAGTCGATTTGAGTTTCCCCTGAATTTGAGCCGAGTTTTCCACTCAGAAGTCTCTTGGAGCTTCTGCCTTATAGCGAGGTCTTCAATCGGTCTCAGTGACGAACCCAGTAACAAATACCTTCTGCCACTCGGGTGGTTTTGTAAATAAACAGACATGACGCTACGTGACGACACCCAAGACATCCGCACTCCTTCCCGTGAGCAATAAACTTGGATAAAATTCATCAAAAGGTTGCCAGGCTATGAAGAACTCAGTTCAAGATTCCGTCGAAAGACACCTAATTCAATCGTTGGTAGAAGGTCATTCTAGGGTCATTTACAGTCTTCGATATATTCTTATACGCCCTGTGTACTTCCACTGATTAGGTCTTGTTATTGATGGGGGTGTTCAGAGTCATCCTGCCCTGGTTCAGAAAGGACACTGTGTCGTACATGCTCCTTTTCTTTTATATAATAGGGCAAGGGGCATCATTACGGTGTACGTTAGGCTTCATCGGACCTCTGAAGAAGGTCATCTCCATGAAAAATCCTTGTGATTCCGATGTGACGTGAAGTCTTTTGCCATAGTTCTACTGCAGAAAACTACTCCAGGTGAATTCGCTGAGTTTATGAACAAAATCGGGCCGAGCTGTCCTTCCACGCATGGTTGGTTTTGAACCCTCAATCTCCTGAACCATTGTTTGGTACTCGATTTGTCTACGAGCCTAAAATCTCGGGCATGCACTTGGGCTAGGTCAAACGAGCCGACTAAAATCTCGGGCATGCACTTGGGCTAGGTCAAACGAGCCGAATGAGCTTCCAGCTGCCGCTGGAAATCTGAATCGAGGTTTCCACGCACCCAAAAGAGATCGTCTCATGTCTTCTTCATCCTTCCTGTCTTCATCCGTACATGTGATTTAGTTTGTTGCTGAGGCAACTTTTTCAATTCCTTATTTTTTCATGCATTACAAATTTGTAGGCCTCTAACATTTGCCCTCACGAATCTTTCACTCATTGTCAGCCTACTTTCTATTTTACATTTTAAATATATTACTGAAAGTTTATACTGGATGGAAAACTATGCATAAACAATGTAATGCCTGGACATATGTTAATCAGTCTGCAGAATATAGGTTATTGGGTCCAGAAGTGAAAATGCAAAAGTTAGGTAATTCGTTACAAGAAAAAGGAAAATAGAGGGGGTTGTCTCCAAATTGCAAAATTAAATGGC